TTAAAATTGCCTGTTATGTAGTCCTGTCGGTTTATTTCTTTTCCATTATTCAGATGTGTGAGAGTACCCACAAAAATTGAACTCTTCTTTTATGGTGATGAGCTTTGGACAGCCGGTATTTTTGTAACTTTTCAAAAGGGATGTTTCGAAAAATATATTTTAATGAGTGTGGAAAGCTTAAAAAGTTCTGCAGCATGGTATAATAGCAGGGCTTGTTAAACTTTTTTATATAGCGAGACCCCCCTTCAAGCTAGGAAATTTTAAAACGACCCCCTCCTCCATATAAATGAATATATAATATTAACCGTAGAGATGTAGATGTAATATCGCACTATTTACAATGTAAATAAAATAAGGATTAAAGAATACGTACCTATTCATTTCACACACACACATATATATATATGATATATATATATATATATATATATATATATATATAAATATATATATATATATATATATATATATATATATATTATATATATATATATTCAATAAGAAAAAATAAACTTTTGTAATAATTTTTTTAATAAAAACATATTATTAACATCAAAAACAATATTAATGTGACGGATGTGGATTGTTTATTTTTACACAAAATAATTAAATCTAGGCTCAATTTGACTTAGTGCAGATCGTAATAAATTTTCAACGTTTATTAAAGTTGAACGGTATTTTGTTTTTAGTAAGTTAATGTGGAAAAGGCTGATTCACATAAATATGTTGTAACAAAATGGCAGTAAATTTGTTCATTGCCATATTCCGATAGTAGGGGATATTCTGAATTTGATTTCTATCCAAAATTCATGCACAGCACTTGAGAAAATCTGAGTCGCAAGGTAGTATCACTTGTTAAATTCGCAAATTCTTCTTGTGCTTTTAAGTTTAAAAAATTAATTTCTTCCATTTCGATTGAAAATAGATTGCAAATCCATTGTTGTGTATCGATATTTATTGGGGAAAATATACCTATGCATGTAAACTTCATATCCTTCAAATGATTTAACTATAATTTTTGTTATAGGAGTATCTTTTATTGAAATATTGTTATTAATTATATACTCGTGCAGTAAATGAAACATTTCCAGCGATCCACTTTCCACGCTGTTCTTCCATATAAGAATTTGTTTGTGACAAAGGCCTCAAGCTTATTTTTTAACATAAACATATTAACGCAGACTCCCTGCAATGATAAATTCATATCATTGATGTTATCAAAAATATCTACCAAATAGCATAGCTTGAGAAGCCATAAATTATCGTGAAAATAATCGGCCAAATTAGAATTTTGCTTTGTTAGAAATATAAGAACTTCATCTTTTAAAGTTAATAATCGTTTTCAAACTTCGACCTCTTGATAAGCCACCTAACTTCAGCATGTAGCAATAAACTTGTATAATCCGAATCCATATCAATGCACAAATTTTTAAACAATTCGACTATTAAGTGCTCGACTTTTAATAAAGTTAATGATTTTGAACTCCATCAAAAACACAGTGTTTAATTCTGGTGCATTTTTTTTAACAGCTAGTGCCTCTCGGTGAAATCATACAATGTGTAAATGTAATATGATCATTTCCAGCTTTAACAAAATGCTGTAAAACCCAAGATCTTGTCCGGATTTAATCCTTCTTTTTTCAAAAAAACTCATTTACTTTTTTATATATATCTTTTCCACGAGTATGACCATCCACAGGACGACAAAACAGTATATTATTGATAGTAGATCATTGCTAATGTCTGAAATTCTTTTGGACACAGTTGTCATTTGATAATAGAATTTTACTAATTTCAGCAGCAATACTGTTTTTCCATGAACAATTTCAAACAATTCTTATAGCTGCAGGTAGTAAAAGTTGCTCTCCAATAGTAAAAGGCTTTTTTCGTTTTTGCTATCAAATACGAAACTTCATACGATGCCAATAGATAATCTATTCATTCAAAGTAACATACTTCTCCAAAGTGTTCTTTTCTTTATTTGATGTTTACAAAAGACGCTCAAAATATTCTGTTGGCTTTTTTTGATAACGTTTCGTGTGGAGTATTCAAAATGTCGTTTGCAGTTGTGACGGTTTCATGCTTTCTGCAGCAAAAAATTCTTTGCAAATTAAGCACACTGGTTATTTTTCATTGTTGTGAGAGAAGAGCATGTGAAGCCATACTGCAAATATGATTCGTCATATATTTTTGTTTTTGTGTTTTGCTAGAAGTCGGATTTAAAGCACTGCAACTTGTTTGTGACGGCGTGGCAGACTTATTAATTGAAATTTAAATTAGCCTTATATCCATGATGGGTAAATACTTTTTTCAGGAAAATACTTTATTTCAGAAACTCGGTATTGTATTTTTGGAGTTTATTTTAGCAGCGTACTCTTAACTGGAAAGACCGACATACAAAACACCTTAGACAAAGTAAGAAAAAAGACTAAACTCCTGAACAGCGCTGTCCCATAAAATGGGGCAACACATCAAATAAGACACTATTGCTCACCCACAAAACCTCTATAAGACCAATAATCGAATATTTGAATATATAACGGTAAGATTAATAAAAATAGTAAAATATAATCAACTAATCGAAAAATTGCAAAAAAAAGAAACACATACAAACAAATCACCAAATTTTTAGGGTGGGTGGTGTTACTTAGAGCTAAAATATGTTATTTAGATGAGTTATCCCAAATAAAAAAAACAAGACCGAAGTAGAAAACCGATATTTTGCAAATTTTTCAAGCATGCTCCGTTTTTGTGTTTATAAAGATTTTTTTAATTTAGAATATAATCTTTTTAAAGAACAAGAAGTATTTTCAAGAAAGTTGTCCGTTTGAATGTTTTTCATCTTAAGTGCGTAGTTTTTTTCACAATATTGAAATGAATGCAAAATGTCGCTGTTTTGCCTAAATGCTAATAAAAAGTAATGACAGTAATCATTTTGATACTTGATGGTACGCCTTTTTTATTGAATAGCTTCGTTTCTTGTAGTAATTTAACAAAAGATTTTAATTTGAGACAGCACATTTGTTAAAATTTTGCCTCGGATCTCAATATCAACATTACTTAAATTTGTCCAACAACAAAAGACAATGACAAAATTACGAATAATGTGAAAATAAACTGTTGCTAGAAGGAACGTTTCGCTAGGATGCTGCACTCCTTATATTCAACTCCAAACTTTATCTTCTGAACGAGGATATAAATGGTGCAATCTCATGGAAAATTTAAACATGGTTGTAGAATGGTAGACCTTCCTAAAAATTACTGAAGAATTTTAGCCAGGACCATAGTAAATGAGGCAAAAAAATAATCTAAATGAAAGACGACGAAACCAGTCAGCTAAGCGGACCTCTCAACGATGCTAAACTTGGATGCTTCATCCACATAATAAAAAATAGTAAGGCTCTGGGCATCGACAATCAGCGCTCAGAAATTAAAACGTTGGGAACAAAAACACTATAATGGCTCGTCCTAGAGGATAAACAGCTGTGTTCAACCTATGTAGATACTTAAAGGCTGAAAACAAGCCAAAGTTGTTGCCTTGGTTAAACATGGAGGTTAAACCTCAAAAGGTATCGGTTAATATCTTTAATGTGTCACCCATTCAAAATACTTAAGTGCATAATTGTTTATAGAACTTCATCCAGAATAAACGAAAAAATTCATAAACACGTCGAAGACGTGTACCAAAGACACCAGGTGTATGTGGCGGTATTTGTAGAATTTACTATCGCTTATGATACCGTAAATTTTCAAAAACTGTATGACATCACACTTTATAGTAAACTCACAGGTCTTACCCGTATGTCTGCATAAGGAATAGAAGATTTTCCGTAATCTCTCAATGTTAAGAATAGTAGATGGAGAACACAGAAGAACGGTCTCGGTTAGGGCAGCGTAATGAGACCTAAACTTTATCCAAACAACCAACTCATGTCCTAAGGAGGAGGGTTTAGGACGTTTTTGAATAGTACGTAGTAGCAGTTCAAAACAAAAAATCCAATAAATATAATGAAACTGATCGATTAATAATAAAAGAGAATCAAAGAAGCTAAGGAGAAATGTTACATGAGCAGTGCCAAGAACTAGAAGAAATTGAGAAAAAATATGACTTTTTTAACATGCATAAAAGAATTAGAGAATTAAAAGGAATGAGAAAAACACTTTAAAATAGGCAACTAAGAGATGAAAGGGGGTTGCACTTATAACAGATATAAACCAAAAAATGCAGAGATGGACACAATATATAGCACAACTTTTTGAAGACAAAGAGAGAACAGAAGCACCAAAAGAATTTAAGGATGATACTGGGCCTGACATTATACGAGAAGAAATTGAATATGCAATGAAACAAGCTAAAGGTGGTAAATCTCCCGGGCCTGATGAAGTTCCTATCGAATTACTTAAAATTGTGAATACTGAATCTATTGATCTTCTTTTGGATCTATTCAATACCATATATAGAACAGGTATAATACCTAAAGAATGGCTCCATTCAACATTCATACTGCTTCCCAAAAAAGCCAATGCAAAGGAGTGCAATAAACATCGCACCATAGCCTTAATGAGTCATGTCTTGAAATTGTTTTTAAAAGTAATTCACAATAGAATACATAAGAAATTAGATGAAGGTATAAGTAATACACAAATGGGATTTAGGAAAGGACTGGGAACACGAGATGCACTGTTTGCATTAAGTGTTCTTTCGCAGAGATGCTTAGATATTAATCAGGAAGTATATGCCTGTTTGATTTTCTATTTTACATCATAGTGGGTATTTAAATGTTATCATTCACTTGGTTTTTGCTGCATATAATTATCATATTGTATTTCTTGGTGGTTGTATTAAAGATGCGTGTCATCGCAGAAAGAATGATTACCTCTTTATTTATCTAAGTAAAAGATTTATAGCAAACTTAAGAATGTTAAGAGTTTTGTTTATTTTCGGAAAGTACGATTGTATGGTTTAAAATAAAGATTTTAATGAATCCTCTCTATTTTAGATTCACCAAACAGCTTAATAATGAAATGAATCCTCTAGAGCTATATCAATTAGCTGTAAGTATTTTTGCTCTATGTCTTGGCTCTCTTCGGATTGCAAATGCAGTTAGTATATTTTTATAACCATCTTTTTCTCCACATCTTAAATAAAAGACAAAATAAATAACCTACAACAGCTATCACACATTTTGCAAATTCGGTTATACACTTTGCATTTATTATCTTCAAATAATTGTTTTATTCTATTTTTTTTTAGATTTTGTGCATTGGTGAATTTTTCTGTTTTGTATTATTTTTTGCTAAAAATAGTTGCAGCTGAAATGTTCTTACAATGTTCTTAATTTATGAATTGTTCTCTCTATAAATTTTCTTCAAATTTAATTAAATTGCCCTTAACTTTCCTCATAACCCTCGTTTACGTACCTCGTATATCTTGTGTCATTTATTTTTTTGTTGGAAAACTGATGAGACTAGTCATATAGACATTTTTAAAAGGGAGCTCTTAGCTAAAATATTTAGTTGCTGTTATAATTTCCAATCTAGGAATAGTCTTTAAGATTATCGTATAATAATATTCACTGTACTTTTTGGATAAATACTCCAGTCTCTTCTTTTTTATTATTTTTTATAAATTTAAACCATGTTCACGTGGTAACTAAACTTCGCTAAGCAGATTAACGTAATTACACCATTTAGATAAAAGGTTCAAAATTACTATGGTTGGGGACTTATTATGATTCAGTAATAGATCTTAAACTGCCCATGCTACTGGATCAGCACGCTTTGGGTAGACAGGTAATTATAACAAATTTTACAACCTAGGTCAATATACTACTTTGTACCAGGTTGAAGTTTTTGCTTTAGTGTACTGCATTAATGCAATCATAGATGAAATCCCAAAGCAAAGATAATAAACAATTATACAGATAGCTAAGCGGATATTCTGGCCTTAAGAACCGACTATCCCAATTAAAATTGTTAGGGAGCTGTAAAGGTATACCCAACAAAGTGACAAAGGTCAATAAAGTGTCTTTAATATGAGTGTCAGGTCACAAAGGGGTGAATGAGAATGAACGAGCAGATTTGTTGGCAAAATAATGATCGAGAGAAACTTTTGTTGATCAAATGATCAAAGCAATTATGTTGTATTACCAAAGATTTTGCAAAAAACAAGATTCAGTTGCTGATAAGGAATCATCAAAAGAAATAAGAAGCCACTCAAAAGCAAATCCAGACTAACAAAATAATCAAGAATAATAATAAAAAAACTCTCGAATAATTTGATGAACCTCAATAAAAGAAAAATTAAAACGATCACCAAAATGGTGACTGGACATTGTCGTTTAAGAAAACATATATACAAAATAAACAAGGTGCAACCACGGTACAAAAAGTGTAAAATGGAAAAAGAGACTGCGATAGACATCGTACACCATTGTAATGTGCTATGTGATAAGAGACAGAAATTCACTGGCCAACTGAGTATTGAACCAAAAGAGATCCTAAAACTACCAATGATGGCTTCTAAAAAAATAATTGACCTCGAGTAACTATTGTGGAAAATACGATATTGTGCAAAGGTTTTATGACCAAGTGCCAGAGATTAACGCATCTCGTCTAAACTAAGAAACAGAAAAAGAACAAGATAAAACAAAAAGTTAACAAATAAACGAGTTTCAAAGAAATTAGGAGAAAATAATTATTTGAAGACAATTAACAAAAATGTAACATTTATAACGTTAGAGAACATAACGTAGATTTAAAAAATTTAACATAAATGACTTAATTCTACAATTTAAATTTAACAAAAAACTTAATTACCCGTATCTTAATTGTTTCAACGTAATTCAATATTACTTTTTTTAACTAAAATTTAATTTTAGGAGTCTTTAGGTAGCGATGTAGAACAAGCAGGAAGTTACTTATATCTAATTGGATTTTCAATGCAGCTATTTATTGACTGTTTTTTTGGAACATTTCTCTACCATCAAGTAAGTGGACAAAACAGGAACTAAGAATCTTACAAAAACTGCTATTTCAATTTTAAAGTATGCCAAGACTGATGCAAAAGCATCAACTATAATATTTTTAACATTTTATTCCGGCGTAAGCTTTTTTAACTTTCCGTTTATCAATTTTTAAACATAGTCGAAACTTTGTCTTTTCTACTGTTCTTTATTTAGAGCTATTATAATTCATTTTGTTTTAGTATATCTAAGATCGTTGTTTCACCTTATTTGACGACTTCTTCCTCTCTTGTATTATCATTGTCATCAAATTATTATTCATTATCGTATCCTAATTGGACCATCTCGTTTGGCTCGTTTCATTCTACAATGGTTAACATACCACTCTCATCTAGGAACCGACTCTTCGGGGCATTAATTCTGACAAAAAATAATAGAACACCTCTTTAAGGTCAGCAAAAACTCTCATGCGCCTTGCTCTACGCAAATCAGGGTTTGTTAAATGGTCTGAGCTTAGAGGTCTTCGGACTTCATCATCATTCATCATCATCAATCAGCCCTAAGTTGTCCATTGTTGAACATAGGCCTCCTCCAAATTTTTCCATCTGCTTCTGTTCTGCGCCTCTGCTATCCAATTGGTCACGATTCTCTTGAGGTCGTCGGTCCATCGCGTTGGGGGTCTTCCTCGGCTTCGCTTGTCAGCACGTGGTCTCCACTCAAGCAATTTTTTTGTCCAACTGTCGTCTTTCATTCTTGCAACATGTTCTGCCCATGTTCATTTTTGCCTTGTAATATGTTCGATATTGCCTACCACTCTGGTTCGTCTACGAACTTCCTCGTTTCTTATTCTGTTTCTTAAGCTTATTCCAAGCATTGATCTCTCCATCTTTCGTTGTGTCCTTCTCAATTTTTCGGCTGATGTTTTTATGAGAGTTAATGTTTCTGCTCCGTATGTGAGGACTGGTAGAACGCACTGGTTAAAAGCTTTTCTTTTTAAATGGGTCGTTATATTTGTTTTTAAATACGTCTCTCATTTTTCCGAATGCAGCTCAACCCAGACTTATTCTTCTGAGTAGCTCGCATGTTTGGTTATCTCGCGGTAACCTTATTTCGTGATCCAAATACACATATATTTTCACAAGTTCTATGGGCGACTTTTCGATTTCTATTAGCTCATTGGGGACGAGATTGGTCATCATTTTTGTTTTTTCATAGTTTATCTTTAAACCGACTTTCTGGGTTACTTGCTGTAGTTGCTGTAGCATAACTCTAACTTCTCCTAAGTTGTCTGTTATGAGAACAATATCATCGGCATATCTGAGATGATTGAATATATTTCCATCGATGCTAATACCCTTTGATTTCCACTCTAGCCGTTTAAATGCGTACTCCATAACTGTTATAAATAGTTTTGGCGACAAGGTATCTCCCTGCCGCACCAATCTGCCAATTTTTATCTTCTCAGTCATGCAATGGAGGTTAATGGTTGTTGTCGTATTTTCGTGTATATTGTATAGGTGGTTAAGCAAACTAATTGGCCTATAGTTTTCGAGATCTAATTTATCCCCTTTTTTGTGAAGGAGGATTGTAACCGTATTCTTCCATTTACTTGGAATGTTTTTACTATGCAGACATAGATTAAAAAGGTGTTCGGACTTGACCCACGAAAAAAAAAAAAGAATCTACGTTTACAATTTATTAATGTTGACACAAATTCGTTAATAGGTACGGGGCTTGGTTTTGGTTGGGGTTTCCAGCCTTCAAATCGCTTCCGCTGCTCAAGAGTATCTTGTTTACATGAGAGGCGTATGGCGGGTGCGCCTAGAAGAGAATATCGCATAGTGTTAGTTGCATAGACTTAGTTGCTCTTGTTGGAATACATGTAATGATACCGTTTTTCAATGCTTGCCACTGTTATTTTTGACTTCGAAAATACTCGAGTAGACCATATTTGTATCTTAAAAATGATTTTTGAACTTTCTGAATTGAAGAGGGCTCAGCAGCCCCCCTGACCCGTTTGGTGCATCGTAACTATGACTCCCTTATGGTCAAAAATCAAGTACAAATTGATTGAAAGTGATCTTGATTTTCTCTAAGATCACTTTTCTACCATATTGTATTTGGTTATGACATTTATTAAACGTTATTGTATAACCCGTAATCTATCCGTAAGATAAAATTAGTCTATGAAAAATATTTACAGTGGTTGAAGGGACATGTATCTGTTAACGTAAACTTGCAGGTATTGCCTAGAGAGTTCGTTGTTCACTTTTAGTCGGCAAAAATGAAGTGATACGTTTAAGTTGACAAAATATTCATTAAGGACGGCCTCCGTAAGTAACAGGAGTTGAAAGAAACCTACGAAAATAAAAGAAAAGCTTTCTTTATATTAAGATATTGGATATGAAGGCATTAAATTAATTGTCAAAAAATATATTAAAACTGGTAGGTGGGGTTTTCACTAAGAAACTGTAAATTTACGTTGCCCACATTATGACAGTAAACCATGAAATTACAATAAAGTCTGAGCGTTTGTGTGTTTTATACATTTAGACAGATTAATAGAATTGGGTGGCGATATATCCATCCATCCATCCAATGGCACTACAGCCCAAGCCGGGCCTTGGCCTCCTTCATTAAACCTCTCCAAACATCTCTATTTACTGCTGTTCTTTTCCATGAACGCGTTTTTAGGAGATTTTTGGCATCCTTATCTACCTCGTCTTCCCATCTCTCTTTTGGTCTTCCAACAGGTCTTTTTCCTTGCATTCTTGCGTTTAGTAATTTTCTGGGGATTCTGTTCTCATGCATGCGGGCCACATGCCCTGCCCATCGTAATCTCTGCAGTCTAGTGTATTGTGCTAGTGTTGGTTCAGTGTATTGTTCGTATATTTCGTTATTTATATCTAATTCGCCAGTTGTTATTTTCCTTTATTGAACCGAGTATTCTACGCAATATTTTTCTTCGAACACGTCTAATGCATTGGTAGATTTCTGTGTTATAACCCATGTTTCACAACCCATAACTTACTATTGGTCGGATTATTGTTTTTATATACCCGGAGTTTTGTTTTCCGGTGTACGTCTCGCGATTTGAATATGTGGCCCATCGCGAAATAGGCTTTGTTTGCCAGCATAAGCCTTCTATTTATTTCCGGTTCTCTTCATTATTTTCGACCAGATCCATTCCTAAATACGTGAATATATTCACGTATTCTATATCGTCTATAAAATTGTTGTTGTTGCGCCTGTCTATTTGATCTGGTTTGTATGAGTAGTTTTGTTTTATTTGTATTTATTGTTAGCCCTACAACTTCTGAACTCTGTTTCAACTGAACGTAGGTTTTCTTCTGCCGCAGTCTTTGTTCTGCTCATTATGTTTATGTCATCTGCGTATGCTGCTAATTGGGTAGATTTGTTTGTAAGTATGTTATTTCTGCTCACCGTCAACCGTCTAATTACATATTCAAGAACAAGATTAAAAAGTGTTGGAGCCAGTCCGTCACCTTGTTTCAGTCCTTGCGTTGTCATAAACGCATCAGTGATCTGTCCTTGAATACATACATGTGCTTCTGTTTCTGTCATGTCATTTGCACTAGTCTTATTAATTTTGATGGTATGCCAAATTCTTGTAATATATTAGGTAGTATTGTTCTATCTATTGAATCATAGGCTTGCTTGAAATCTACAAAGAGATTGTAGACGTCTATGTCATATTCCCATGCTTTGGCTAGTATTTGTTTAACTGTAAATAGTTGGTCAATAGTAGATCTATTTTGCCTGAACCCTGCTTGATATTCCCCGATAATATTTTCAGTGAGGAGTTGAAGTCTTCGATTAAGAATGTTTGTGAGTATTTTGTATCCCGAACAAAGTAAAGAGATGCCTCTATAATCTGGCATATCAGTTTGTCTCCTTTTTTATGAATAGGGCAGATTATACTTTTCTTCCATTGTTTGTGGGATTTTTTCTTCTCTCCATATTTCTTGTATAAGCTGGTACATCTGTTCTGTCAAATTTGTTCCTCCCTGCTTGAACAGTTCTGCCGGTATCTTATCTATTTCCAGCGCTTTATGGCTTTTTTGCATTTGGATTGCTGTTCGAACCTCCTCTAGCGTTGGAGGTCTAGCCAATTCATTATCTTCTCCATATTCCCACAGCTCCTGTTGTTGACCTTCCTGTTCTATCCTGCTGCTGCCGCTGTTGTAGTGGGTGTTTGTGCTCTTTCGTTTAATAATTCCTTAAAATACATCATCCAGGTTCTCTTAATTTCGTCCATATCGCTAATTATTTCCCCATTCTTATTTTTGCAGAGGCTAGTCTTCGGTTTGTAACCCTGTCTTAACTGTTTGATAAGTTGGTATGCACTGCGTGTTTCGTTTTCCTTGAACGCCCTCTCTATGTTTAGTATCCGGTTGTTTTCGTACCGTCTCTTTTTCTGTCTGCATAGTTTATCAGCTCTTTGTCTTTTATTCTCAAATTCTGTTCTTCTCTCTCTAGTTCGTCTGAGTATGAAATTCTTATGTGCTTCATTTCTTTTGTGAATAGCTATGTTTGCATTCTTCATCGAACACTGTTCTTCTCTCCGTTGAGTGTTTGTTCCAAGAACTTCTTGTGCCGTGTTTAGTATGATAGTGCTTATGGTGTTCCAATGATTTTCTATCGATATATAGACTTCTTTATTAGCTACTTGAGAGAAAGAGAATACAGCTGCACTCGTAATATAAAAATATTTTCATTGAAAAATACTAACCTTTTATTTTAATTACACCCAGGCGAAATTATTAGCATGGAAGAGTCTAAACACGTTAAGATAGGACGTCCGAGGTAGTTAGGCCTTGTAATGCGGATGGAGCAAACTGACCGAGCTAGAAAAACGCTCCTTGATAGACCTTTTGGTCAGAGAAGAAGAAGAAGACTTAGAACAAGATTCCTAGATAACATAGACCAAGATATGAGAAATATGAAAATACGTGCTTGGCGGAGGAAGGCGATGGATAGGGACGACTGGAAAAAATTCTTGGGGAGGCCAGGACCCACACAGGGTTATAAAGCCAAAATCATGATATGAAGTCTCAACAATCTAGCAAAAGACCTTGAATAATTTCTTGAATATGGGTTTCATAAAGGAGTGCATGATAATGAACCACTAGATTTGTTGGCAAAACAAAGCTCGAGACAAACTTTTGTATGCCCAGAACCATTGTATGACATTACCAATGTTAATTCAAAAAATGGGAGATTAAAACGGTCACTTAAATGGTGACTTTGTCATTAAGGAAAATATCTATACAAAATAGGTGGATAAACCGTGTTGCAGAAAATATGAAATCAAAGAAAAAACTGACATACATATCCTATACCATAGCAATATGCTAAGTGACATACGGCAGAAATTTATTGGTAAACTAAATGAGATCCTTAAACTACTAATGAGGAAACTATTGACCTTTGTGTAGCCACAGGCTTATTGGAGTACGGCTAGATTACATATGATTGAAGACAGTATAATTTCTTGCCTCAAGCCGGTGTTTATTTATAAAAAGTCAAAAGACATTAACAGTTTTGTATGCAAAATTTGCTTTTGTATTTATTTTTACGTTTCTATTTTTGTTCATGTCTCACAACAAGTGACAATCTCTTGCAGATCACATTATCAATAACTTTTTTCTAGGCAAGTCTCTTGCCAGATGCAATATTTCATAGCAACTGGAGGACTTTGGATGATGAAGAATTAAAAAAAGATTTTGTATTTTTGTTACAAAATTCTCAAAGAATACCACAGTTTAATGCATATAATGTCTATGATATGCATATGATGTCCTTTATTAAGGTGAGTATACTAGTTAAAAATAATAAAACTATGTAGTCTTAAAAAAGCAATGTAAATTACTTTTATCAGCATCATCATCAACATTTGTGCTACTGCCCAGTTGAACCTAAACATTTTTAGGTTATTTCTACATTCAGTCTTGCTTGTTTTCCACATTGATTTTTCTGGCATCCTTATCCACAATATAAAAGCACATCTTACAAGGTAACTCTCATTTGCACTGGCCAGAGATCCTGCCCACCGTACGTGTCTAATTTCTATCGCACTAACTACATCTTTGGCTTAAGCTATTTCGTTGTATTTATTGTATAGCTGTAAATTATATCGAAAACTGACAAACGCGACTGATATTTTGACCCAGACCATATTTTTAATGGTCATGAAACCAGTTTCTATATATATGTCCCAAATCAGGAAAAGTTATTACACCTAGATGATACAAGAATGTCTACAAAATCGTAAATGGCCAAGAAAAAGAGGCTGTTACAGTTCTTGTATTTATATCAGCTTTTGGGAAGATTTTGCCTCCTTGTGTAGTGTGTTCCATATGTAAGACCACCAAGAGATGTTATAAACAGTATTCCTGCTGGATGGCTGTTAGGAAAATCACAAATCAGGTGGATGAAATCGGATATATTTTATGATTATATCGTTAAAGGTTTGAATACATGGGTGTAAGGAGAAATTATCAAAATGCCAGTTATCGTTTTTGTTGATGGACATAAAAGCCACCTAACAATGCGGCTCAGTGAATATTGTTACGAAAACGGTATTATCCTTTACGCACTGTCACCAAATGCGACACATTTGAGTCATCCTTCAGATTTAAGTGTATTCAAACCTTTAAAGTCACAATGGAAAGGTACAGTACATGAATGGACAAGTCGTTTTGAAAATGTTATTAATATTTTGAGCAAATTAACTTTTTTGTCCATTGCTCAAAAAAGTTTTAGAAAAACAAAAGGTTGTCGCAAGTGTGGCTTATATCCATACAACCTAACTGCCTTAGATTACTAAAAATGTGTACAAAATATTCTTGAAAAACATCCGAATTCCACTAAGAATGTTTAGATCTCCAAACAAGAAAATAAAGAACAGGAATTTGAACACCGGCATCAAGATAATTAATGAGCTTAGTAACGAGTTTAAAAATGCTGAACTTGACTCAAAAATCGTTTTGAGTCAAGATGTTTTAAACACGCAAATAATAACGATGCTGAAAGTCTCAATTCAACCGAAAATTCAATTACCCCAGGCACAAATAAATGACACAAGTTTTCCTAATCATACATATAATCAATTAGACAATCATTTTGATATAAGTTTACCAATTATTGGTGTTTAGGATTAAACTTGAGAGGTCGCTGGTTAAATTATATTAGATAAATAATTATAATGAAAAATGCAATATTGGTTTGTACATAAAATTGGTGAAAATAGCAACTATAAATTGTAAATAAATTACGGAATTAACTGGTTTACTCATTATCAATGTTTTGTACAAAGAATTATAAGGCTTACCCTTTGGTTCTACTGATGAGTTCATACCAGGCTGAAGAGTTGGTCGGTGGTGCCGACGCTAGCGTCGCCGTCGCCCGAGGCTCAGAACGAGAACCGTCCGGAACTAGATGCGTATCGATCGATCGTTGTCTGACGAAGAAGTGATTTTGAGATTGTTTCTAGGGCACAAACCAGCCTCTAACTGTGGGGTGGTCAACAGCTCGTAAGACGGGCATGCTATAAATCAACCATTTGTTTCAATCTTTCTGACATAGAATACAAAGAAAAAAGCCCAATTCTGCGTACTTTAGTATGATAAATGAGAGCCAGTTTAAGTTTTACGAACTCATAGGAAATAATATATTTTAAAAAGATCTTTGAAATACAGCACCCAAATTATGTCATATTACAGTACCGTAACAGAAAAAATATTATCTGTAAAAATATAAAATGAATGAGCACATACTTTCCCAAACAATTGGTGTATATACACTGAAAAACAATTTGAATATTTTGACAAAAAGTGACTTTATTGATTTAAAAATTATTACCGAATTTAAAGTCATACCACAAAATCATGAAGTCCAGGAATCACAGTAATCAGAAGTTGCTGAATTTAATGTAAATACACCAGATCTAAACTGTCACAAAGAACCTTCGACACATGATAAGTTGAAAATATCATCTAAGGAATCTAAAACAGAAACAAACATTAACCAAGGTAAAATGGAGGATAATAAAGAAAATCGAATGTAAGACGAACTTTTAGAAAACCATAACGATATTATAGGGAATATAAAAATAACAAATAAAGTGTGTAGAATTCCAAACCCCACCGAAAATATTATTTTGCAAGAAATACATAATATAAAATAGAATACATAAAATATGCAAATAAATAAAATGACAGTCCAAAAAATATTTAAAACAAAATAAAGATCTTGTCCAACGTTGTTGTCAAATCAACAAATCTATCACCCGTTTTAGGTAAGTTTTTAACTTTACCTAGAGCATCTAAGACCATAAAAAAGAAGATGTCCATTAATCGAATAGCAGCCATTTACTCCGATGAGTGGAGACAGTTTGAGAAGCAGAAGGAAGAAATTAAGGAGAAAAAAAGAACGATATATTGATTAAAAAAAAAGACTGGAAGCTAAGGAAAATAAGGAGAAAGAAAGACAAAAGAAAAAAGAAGAATTACAAAAAAAGCTGAAAAGCTCCAAAAACAAGAAGTCCAAAAACATTAAAAAAAGAAAGAATAGAACAACATGCACAGTGAGCAGAATAAGAGTGTGAATAATTCGTGTGAAGAGGAACTGACTAGTGACACAGGTTGACTAGCGACACAGGAATACAAAAAAAATTGGTTGTGACAATTGTCCTACGTGGTATCATCTAAAATGTACTGCATTTGATGGTAACGTTTATGAGAATTTATATAATAAAGAGTTTATATGTCTAACATGCAAGAATAAGTAAGTGGCTGCCTTCAGGGCAGATATGGCTGACTTGCGGAGAAATGAGGCTAACTACAGGTAAAAAGTGCCATATTTTGTTAAGTGTGTTTTTTTTATAATTATTACATAATAATATCATTTAGTTAACCTCTTTCGATAATTTAATAAACAAAGTTTCTGATAAAAATATTTGTTTTTATTTACCATGCAATTGAAACAAATTAAGATTCTCACTAAAATACTGGCTACTGAGTGTTTTACCTTAAGCAAATCTAATATTGTACTAATACAAATTTTTACAAACTGTATTTAAGCACGAACAACATTTTTCCAGTCTCAACAACTTGCAATCTAGAAACATTGCTTATTTGCATATTATTTTCATCATTTTTAACTTTGTTGATAAACTAATTTTAACTTTTAGGTTATAAAAGTAGCATTCTCCTTTTATACCATGTTATCTACGCTAAAATAAGAAAACACGGACAAGAAACGAATAAGCACTTTTAGGTTATTTAGTTGCATTTGTAGTTGGTATTTAATAAAAATTATTCAACGCTATATGTTTTATTTCATTAAACAGACCACATTTTATTTATTTATTTTACTATTCCAGTAAATTTAAAAACTTTTTAGACCCAATCATTTTCTTATTGAATAATTTTTTATTTCGGAATATTATCCACAATAATTTTAATTAAAAATACACTTCCAATCCGGAAAAATATAAAACTATAAAAATTGATAAACTATAAAATAAACAATAAAACATTATTTTTGTCGAATGGCAATAAATAAATTATTAAAGATCTTCTTTAAGGCAAGTTCGACCTGAGAGGGCACATATAGTTTTTGGAAAATAAGAGAACTACCAAATATTTCTCCTAATATTACTGACAATATGTCTAAAAATTAGCAATATAGTTACTAGAGAAATAACTTATAGCCATCGGAACGAAACTTATAGCCATCGGTTAAAAAATATAATTTTCTCGTCTAGGATATATAACAATAGAAAATGTGTTTAACTATCCAGTGTGGCAAAGATCGATGAATTCATCAACAATACAGCTACAGACTCCTAGTACTATCTCTTAATAACTTTTTGTCACATGAAAGACAACTGTGTTTTAAAGTGTAGGTAACCAAACAGTGTTTTCAAAGTTTTCAAAGTTTCACCTCTCTTTCTAACTTCGCTGATATTTAAAAACACTGAAATCAGGGCATATATCAGATTGACAGTCAAAACTACATGAGTTGGAGCTGGAGACCCTGGGATCCTGGGAAAGTCCAAACGGTAGAACAAGAAACGAAATCGACTACATCATTAATTGACAAAAAACAAATAATAAAAGATGTAACAGTACTCAACAAGTTCGTTACAAGCAATGACCACACAATGATACGAACGAAAGTCCAAGTCAACATAAAAAGAGAAGGAACATATATATATATATATATATATATATATATATATAATATATATATATATATATATATATATATATAAATACTTTTTTCTTTTTGGGTGTGGTAGTCAATAAAAAATAGAGCTTTGCTAAGGCGTACTATTTATTCTGAAATCCGAGCTTTCGGTGGTTGTTTGCCACCTTTATTAAGGTCTACAATGAAATTACTGTGTTATAAAATTAGGCTGATGTAATATAAAAGTTATAAAAACTTACCAGAAACTAAGATTCATAGCATATAAAAACACAACGTTAAATAACATAATGTGATCTGAATTACTGAAGGCATTAAAAACTTAAAAACTTTAAAATAATCCTAAAAATTAAAGAACATGTTACAAAGTTTAAAAAGTAAAAAATAAGACGACATGTTTGACAAAAAACAGTCGTCTTCGCAGGTTTGAATTCAGTCACATCTCACGAACAGAAAGAGGTAGTAGGAGGAACTATTGTTGTTTAAATAGTTCGATGTAACTACAAAAAAAACAAACCATGTTACCAACTTTGAAATGAGAGGGAAATTTAAAAAAAGTTTATTATGTCAAACAATAAAAAGAAAATAGTATTTAGTAAG